TAATTTGTGTTGGGTGTTCTGTGCATTATTCAGTTACCTGTACAATTAATAAGGGAGGTTTTTTTGAGATTGCATTTTCGTTCGTCGTCGACACACATTTGCCTCGCTTTGAGGCGCTTCCTTAAGTTTTTGCCTCACTTTGATGCGCTAACTCATGTGGTGATTCTTGTGTCCTCAGCGTTCATCTTTCAAAGGTTTGCTAAGGTCTGATATTCTTCGTAAAGCGTTCATCTTTTAAAAAGTTTGCTGAATCTTCGTAAAGGGTACATCGATCTGTGATTACTGAATCGTCCAAAGCGTTCATCTTTCAGGAGTTTGCTGTTAAATTTTACTTTGGATTAAGCCTTCATATTTTTCAGCATGGTTCGTCACTTTCTTTGGAAAATGTTTGCGACTACTGGTGCATGCATCAAAGCGAGTTTAGTTCGGCGGCCGTTATGCCACAAAGTAAATTTACCGAGTTGTGTAACTCGGCGGCCGTTTTGTCACAAAGTAAATTTACGAGTTGTGTAGCTCGGCGGCCGTTGTACCACAAAGTAAATCTATCGAGATGTGAAGCTCGGCGGCGCCATTTGACCATGACTTGTGATATTTTCGGCACCGGACAAACGAACACTTTAACTCTATGTTATTTATTAGGAAAAACTTCTAAATCAGCCCACAGTAGCGCCACTCTCGAGTCACTGAAATCAACACGCTCGACCAAATTACTGGAAAAGTTATTGACGTGAGCCGCACACACGTTCCATCGAAGGCTTTGATAGGGTTAGTGCGAAGTTTGAATTCAGACGTGAAAGCTTTTAAACCAGTAAATTCAATGTAATTCATTTTGTCAACAAGTTGATGATTGGATGCTGTTAAAAATAACAGAGAAAACTATCCGAAGAAATAAGAGTCCCTGGTTAAGAACTAATCGGCCTTTGAGAAACTGCGCCCTGTAACTCGCGCCAGTAAAACAAAATGTTCCATTTACACGTCCGACGCTGGCCAATGTCTCCTCCGATTAAAAGCACTTGACACCGAACCATACGATATCTTTTGAAAACGTTCTTAAAATGATACACAGTTTAAATAGAGGTTTCGCTGTACGCAACCCTTACGTTCAAAATATGCCATAATCATATTTATCTACTTCGCAACCACCCTTCCGCCTCAACAAACATATCGAACGCACTCTCCTAAGCTCCGATTACTCCTAGTTCATGCATAAAATAGAATACTTCACTTGCAATCACAGATCAATTAATCCTTTTATTTCATTTCTGGGTCCAGATTTAAATTTGATCGCGGAAAAGCGTTTTAAACAATAAGAGAACAAATCTTCTCCGTCAGTATAAACTTTATATGCATGCTTAAGTTCTATCGCGTCGGAATGTTTCTCGGTCAACAGCATTAACAGACTGGTGAAAATTAAGCTTACCAGTTCGTTCAAGTCAGTACGAGAGTACGACGTTAATACTGCAAAGACGTTCTGATTTGGTGAATTTGGACTGCCTTCTCAGAGAGATTTTGCTTAGGTTTTCAGTGCGCTTCTTGTCGGCTATGCGAATTTTGCAAACGTCATCTGCTCCATCCGAAGATACCCCGACCTCGCACGAAATCGGCCGAATTTCCGCAGAAGTGTTTTCGGATGATGGTGAATTTCGTTTGTTGTAGCGTGGCAGTTGTGGCGTCACGATGTCGTCATGTCTCTTCGCACTTGTTTGTCTTTTTTTTTTCTGCGGTGCATGGTTGAGATGTTGGTGAATGCTGGAGAAATAATGGATTCTGCGAGAGACTGTAAGTACAAATTTAGTATTAATTTGGTAAAGAAAAAGCCTGAATATCGAACAAATCCCGTAAATTATCCTTTTGGCATTCAGTTTATCTTGCTGTTGAGCATGCCTAGGAACTCTCAGGTATAAGTGGTTGTCAACTCGTTCACTTCGGATTGTTTCTGTTTGTACGTCTTGTAATCTTCCTCTGCTGTTAAGAAGACTAGAGAAAACTTCAAAAATATAGAAACCAAAGCTAAAAAAAAGTCAGATCTAATTTTATAGCTCGAGCATAATTAATTTTGGCACCTACGGTCATATTTTTTCAGTACTGGTAAGGTTACCTTATTTTTGCTGCATAGTTTGACTGTTGTGTGAAAGACAATCAAACGGATATTACAATCACTTTTGGAGACAAAATAAAATATCCGTAAATCAAATGCCAAAATCAGATTTGGATTTCGCTTTGAAAAAAAATGAACATGCTGCAGGTGTCAATGCAAAGTTGTAAACAACTCAATAAGCAGTCTGTGAATGTGCGTTTAGATCCACAAAACTAATTTTTCTTTTGGATGTCTTATCCAAGCAACCACTTATGCCTTACATTGCTTGTCTACGAATGTACTACAAAATGCTTTACTACAGTAAGCCTTTGAGAGGCGATTCTGGTAAATTTATATAGGACGCTAAAATGCAAAAAATTCTAAGCTTAAATAACCTGGCTGGGTCCGATTTCTGAATTACAAAATGTTCACGTTTGCCGGCTCTTCTTTAAATGAACATAGTTTTTGAAATGATTTTGTACTATTTTAACCCGAAAATTATGATTGGGTTATAAAGCTTTTAAAACGGACGAAAACTAAGCTAAAAACATGTTCAACGTAAAAAACTAAGATTTAGTCGCTTTTTCAACTTGGCTACCTTTACACAAGAACAAAAGCTAACAATGAGGCTTTTATTCGACGTATTTTCTGAGAATTTTATCTGATCAATTTAATGTCACTAGCATTGTTTTCGTATAGGAATTTTCCTAATTATTTGAGCTTTTAATTTAATAATTTTGATACTTTATAAACTTCTCATTTGATAGCTTCCCTTTTTTTATACACCGATTGAGAAGCAAATTCGCTCTCGTTAAATCCTATTTTATGACCTTTTTATTTGAACTCTAGGTAACATGTGAAACGATGTAACAGGACAGGCTTTTACCTTTGGTCGTAATGTATTTTTTCTTCACAACCCCTAATAAGTAATCAGTTGACGGGTCATGAGAGAATATCGCCACAAAGATGCGAAAAAGTTTTCGATGAGTTTCCTTTACATATTCCTGCTTTATATGGGTCTACACCTTACCTGCTGAAAAATGAAACTGTTGTTCTAGTGTCAGTCAAACTCGGGATAGTCTTGATTTGCAAACCCAAATGCAAAGGTTTATTTCGCAGTAGAAAAGCGTGTAAACATCATAGAACAACGCAATGTAAATTGGCTAAAGTGAAACCAAATTTCTTTCACTTTATTTACAATGCATTTATCTCAATTGCACACCCTTGTGAAATTAGCCTCAGACAATTAGTTGCGACCTTTAACAGACTCAACAAGCCAGTTCGAAAATATGTTAAGAGAAGCTGAGCTCTACATGTTCTATTTCATTTTTTCATATTGCCCTTGCATGTGTTAACATTCCATTTCTTTTTTGTTACAGGTAACTTCCAGACATGACGAGGAGATAATTACTTTTCTAGAGAGCAATTCTTTGATACTGTCAGTTATTACTGACTTACTTTGAGTTAAAAACAAAGAACACAGACTCTGGTAATGACACATAAACAACAATCCCTGGCAAGCCTACAGAACAAGAAAGAGGAACTCAGACTCCTTATCAAAATATGAAACAAGACAAGAACAGCTTTTCTAACGTAGGGAAAATTGCGTTAGAGAGATTTGTAATTGCAACGTTATATTCAAGCATATTGTATTGTCAAACATCATAATTTACTGAATAATGGACAGTGATTTTGGAGCTTAGCTCAGTTTGTAATGTAATGAACTTTGAAAGATATTCTATAACCTTGTATTTTTAAAAGCTTTCATGGAACACAGATACATTTTATTATACAATGATAATAGTCTCTGTCTCTATTTTTACTGATTTCAGTCAATTCCATTTTATTCGCAATGTGAAATGAGAATCCTATTAAAGACTCATTAAAAAGGGTGAGGCCGTTTTTACAATCCCACAACAGGTCATCTCCACGATGACGCTGTTTTATTACTACGGCAGAATCCCTCAGGGTTTTACTTTCTTGTGAAAATTAGAGCTTTTGTTATTTAAACTTCGCAGGGACAACCAAATCTATAAAAATGAGAGGAACAGCAATGACGTCATCGTGTAAATGAACTATAAACGCGTGCATCAAAAGATAAGCACGGTGATCTGTTTTTAGTTTTTTTTTTAGCCAGTTCAAGGAATTATAACCTGTGCGTTGAGAGCATGCCAGAGACCGATTTTGGCATGCCCAGCATGACCCAGCTTATGGCACGCCTGGGCAGGGCATGCCGGGCATCCCGGGCATCCCAGAAAATTAGGCATGCCCGGCATGCCGGAGATTTTGGCACGCTGGGCATGCTGGGTACTAATTACTTATTACTAGAACCTAGGCTTCTCGCAGCGTCGGTGGGAAGGTCACGGAACCTCAAATTATGCTTACAGAGCATGCGAAATTCTGTTGCATGCCAATTTCAATGCAAAACCACTCTGGGGCCACCCCCTCTATTACCAGTGAGAAAATCATTGATGATAGGCATGGGAAAAATCCTTGCATGCTAACCAACATTGAAAACGTAGCAGACATGTCCTGAGTTGCGGAGTCGTGCCCTAGGGGAGGCTGTAAAATACAGAATTTCCTGAAATGGATTAGCGAATTTTCCGTAAACAGCATGTGATTATGCCAGCTAGGACGTATTGCTTCCGTATTGCCCCTTTTTACAGCTAGCTAGGCTCATTTTTAGGCTCGATGGCCTGAAATGACGAAAGATTCATGCCCTAAATGTAAAAAGTCCAAAAAACGTCCTCGAAATTTTAGTTTCCAAGCCGTTTGAAAGCTTTAATGAAATTTCTTCTTAAGCTTTTCTGCTATTTGCCAACGTTTTACCCGGAAAAAATAAGTAGTTTACGCTGCACATTCATCTGTTACAAACATGACAAGAGGCAAGTCAAGTCAGTTTTCGTTCCATTTCTTTTTAGGGCCAGTATGTGTAGTTTCTATCGCCGGACCGTGCAGAAAGGGAAAGTCATTTGTCTTAAGCGAGGTGTTTAGTCAACCAGAAGTATTCCCTCTTGGACATCATTTCACACCTGAAACCATGGGAATATGGCTTTCGATTGTACCAGGAGTATTTAAGGTTAAGTGTTATTCTGCTAACGATGTTGAATAAATACCATGCATACCTTCTTCTTCTTCTTCTTCTTCTTCTTCTTCTTCTTCTTCTTCTTCTTCTTCTTCTTCTTCTTCTTCTTCTTCTTCTTCTTCTTCTTCTTCTTCTTCTTCTTCTTTATTATTATTGTTATTATTTTTATTGTTATTGTAATTCAGTGTTATCTAAATTATGTTATTATTCATTCAAAATATTTTCCCGATTCTGATTGGCTAAAAGCACACGCATAATTCACAATAACCAGCTACCGACGACCAAATTCGGAAGAATTTTGCGTTTAACGAACCGATGACGTAAAAAGTGCAGCCTTCTTGCAGTATGCACCGTTAACCGAGAAGACCTGAGGACGAGGTTGCGTTGTTTGGGTTGTGAAAACGAAAATTGCGGACATTTCACTCGTTACAAGAGTAAGAACTAGACGAAGTAATACCTAAAAACATGGCAAGAACTGCAAGAAGACAACTCGAAGTGCGACATCTGCTATTTGGAGAATATTTGCGTGGCTGAACAACCCTAAACGTGCACTATCGAAGATGAACTTAACATCTATTGATGCAAGCATGTTTTAGCTATGTTTTTAAACTAGGAATTATTTTGAATGAATAATAAAACAATTATTAAATTCATCTTTCGTATCATATGAAGAATTATGGCGATCTCGGAGGGTGTTATCTGCCTCGGCTTACAGCCTCGACGGATAACACCCTCCTCGATCTCCATAATTCTTCATAAGATACTCCTCATTCATTAATCGTTAATTTTTGTTATCACGATAGTCTCTATAAAAGCCAGATGAAAATTAACTCGTTATATATTTTATAGGATTCCACGGGCCAGGAATTCAAGGTGGTGCTACTTGATTCCGAGGGAATTGACTCTGTTAATAGTGAAGGATATGATGACAACCAGATTTTCACTTTGACGGTTTTACTGGCTTCGGTTTTAATATACAACTCACAAGGTGTTCCTGCACGGAGAGATCTTGAAGGGCTAAAGTATCCTCTTAACTATATATTTTTTTTCATTTTTCGAATTCATTTTCATTGCATTGGGCTGAAACAAAATCATGTGCTATGATATTTCAGTTAACTTTAAAAGGCAATAATTCAGTCGTTACGAGGAGTGAAACTTCCTTCACTAGTTTTCTAGCTATATCGTTAAACTCTCTCAGAGCATCGAGGTGCGATCAAACACAAAAGCTGAAGCTGGAAAATCGCAGGATGACTCAAAGTCTTTCTATGAAACATTTCCTTTCTTCATATGGTTGCTACGAGACGTCACTCATGACCTACCACCAGACTGTAACAGCGTCAAAGACTACTTCCTAAAGAAGGTATACTTTATTTAAATTGTTGCGACTTTTTAATTAGCAATCATTTTCAGCAGTTTTGCATCATAAATTGCATCAGCTCTGATTCGCAAGATACTAACATTGATGCTGACAGGTAAATGGACACATGGAAAATAGGTACAAGTAGACAGCAACATTTTTTTCGTTTTGACCCTAGCAGAACTCCTATGTTTCTACAACCAGCTGCAAAAGTACTTGAGACACTGTACCGTATTTTGGCATAAATGGCCTGTCCATGATCTTGTGCTTGTGATCCCCCCTCCACCCCTTATCAAAGTTGCTAGCAATACAAGACCATACTCAAAACTTGGAGGAACAACTTTGAATGGGAGGGAGGAGGGAGTTCAGTATTATATTTTACTGACCTGTGACCAGGAGCGATTTAAAGCAAGAAAGGTCGTTTTTCCGTGGGAGTGTCTCATCATTTTTGCAACTGGTTGTCTGAGTCCTTCATACCCCTATAGCAGTGGTGCACGATTATTAAACGGGGTAAAACGTGGTGCACTCTTAGCACCTAAGGAGGTGGTTATAAAAAACAGTATTTCATTTTTTGTCGGTTTGCCTGTTTAAAAATGGCGAGACAAAAACGGCAGTTGTTGGCCCTTTTGTTTATGTGGTAATATGCAAGAAATTGGGCTTTTAAAGGAAGCACGTGGCAAAAGATGCCACCCCATCTTAAGTAAGCTGCAACGAAAAGGGTTTGTGGTCTTAAAACGCTACAGAGATGCGAAAAATAATATATTTTCTTCGAACTCGGTTGAAAGATGTTTATTTATGGAAGGAAAGTGACGTAAGATGCCTCGCTAGATCAAGGAGATAGCTTTTTGTTGTTGTTTCCAATAAGTACGTGGAGGTGGTTCCTCTTTTATCGCCTGCCATTTACAGGAAAGAAAAGTTACGCTAAAAAGCAGCTGTTGGTGACTTTACTTTACTTAACACAAGTTTGGATTTGTGTTTACTCTTTGGTCGTCTTACAACTTTGTTTCGATTTTGAAGCCCGAGTGTGGCTATAGGTATCAGATAATGAAAATGCACGCGCGTATTTCAGTAACATAGTCGCGAGAGCTCGCATATAACGTGGCTTTGTGGTTCTGTACTTGGTAAGGAAATTTATTTCTTTGCAAAAAGGAAGACACTATCCCCAAGAAAAGCAATTTTCCAGCACAGTAATGTCAGGAATTTACGTGCTTCAACGGTCTACACGGTCTACACGGTCTACCATCATATGACGTAAATATAATAAATATAATAATAAGTGTCATTCTATTTATTTATGTCGCTATAGTCTTCGTTTTGGGAATTTAAGACCTGGAAATCGCTTGTTGAAGTAAACCTTAAATGAGACATGTAGCTCTAGGAAATTATTCCCCACACGACACGTACTCGAAATGCTCGTCGACTTAAAGAAGAACAAAACATGTTTTATATCTTATAGAGGTTTAAGTAAGCCCTCTAACCTTTTTTGTTTAACCTTTAGCTTTCGTTTGCCCAGTTTTATGTCACTAACAGCCAGCCATTGCTTACTGATTTATACAGGTTTTCAGCGTTTCTGATTCATCATCAGCTGAAAATCAAGATCGCCAGAAGGTTGCTGATAGCATCAAAGATTATTTCTCTGGTTTTGAAGCGTTTTCGTTACCTCCTCCTACTGCTGACAAAGAGCTGCTGAAGAACATCAAAGATAATGAAAGTCAGATGATTCCTTTTTTCCAAGAATTAGATAAATTTAGACGGTTGCTGGAAAATATTTTGAGCCCTAAAAAAAGCTTTAATGAAGGAGAGCTGGTTACTGGAGAAGGTACAGATTTTTTTCGTAATTTGAGGAGAGTATAGGACACCGTCTCATTTACAATAGCAATGACGTGTATGAAATGCAAGTTTGTAGTCGATATTAGCTTCTTTCACCACATAGGAAAAGAAAGGGAGGTCTTAATGTTCTTATCGTATCTTATTCGCCTTTTTAAATTATTTATTTTATAAAAATTAATATTGTTTTTCCTGCTCACGTTGAAAGTTCTTTTCTGATATTAGAAAGAAAATACTCTACTGAATACTCTTATATCTTAGAGCTTATGGCATTTGTGTCCTTCCTTTACTGTAAGTGGTTGGTATCTAGAATTGTCGGCCCTAGTATTGAACATTTGGCATTGGTTTATCGGCTGGTTTTGCTTTCAGAGACCCACGTATGTCCAGAAATGCACCCAATGCGAAAATGGCGAATCTGACGGCAGTGACGAATCAGGCGAAAATGGCGAATGTGGCAAAAATTTGCCATGGGTTTGGCGAATATTCAAATTTCATGACAAAAGGGGTCCTTTGGAGAGTGGAAATTTTGACAAAAATTGCGAACATGACGAAAATATTGCAGACCTTCAAGCCGTATAGAAAAAGTACCGAATCTGGCAAAAAATCGCCAAAGGCTAGGCGATGATTTAAATTAGATTACAAAAGAAACTCCTTGTAAAGTGGCAAAGTTGACGGAAACGGCAAATCTGACAAAAATGGTAATCTGGTTGGTGAAAATGGGAAATCTGGGAATCTGCCATGGTTTGGCCAATGCTCAAATTGGATGACAAAAGGGGCCCTTTGGAGAAAGGCGATTTTGAGGAAAATGGCGTACGTATCTGGCGAAAGTGGCTAGAACCTGGCAATAATTGCCGTGGGTTTCGCTAATATTCAAATCTCATGGCAAATGGGGTCCCAAAAAGAGAGTAGCGATTTTGACGAAAATGGCGAATCGCGCAAAAATTGCTAGAGGGTTGACCAAACTGATTTAACGACATTACAAGAAACGCTCCTTGTGTTAAATGGAAATAGCAACAACAATATGTATTTATTAACAAAACGATAAAGTCTTACAATTCTGTATGTCCCGGAAAATTTTCATACATGTAGTATACCTGATATAACGCATTTGTTTAACCTGCGAGGCAGTATGTATCAAATACATGTACCATTAAATCAAACACATGATTAGAAACAATGAGAAATAGTGTTATGTAATTGCGACATGTACTGCAAAGAATTTAGTAGACTTTTTGTTGTTTTTAATATCAACGTCGCTTCACTTACCAAAAGTGTGATGCGCTGAACTAACAGACCACAATCATTTGGTCTGTTACTGAACTTTTACCTTTCAAAGGACATACAACAAGTACGAGATAAATTCCTTGAAACCAATTACCACAGCAATCTCACACCATTCAGCTAGTGAAAATACAACTATAGGAAGGAAAGCTCCGACGTAGTGGAACCATTTCGTTCATGTATTCTCTCAATCATACTCGAGCCTGAACATTACGACTGTGCACCTCAAACTAATGTCCAGCTCCCAGGTTGCTTGCTAGGACAATTGTTTAGAACTTTGCACTAAATTGTTTCAGCCTTTTTTCAGTTTCTTGACTGCATAAGTCATAGGTCTCAATGTTGTTTTCTAGCTCTCGCTGCACTGGTTCAGTTGTACGTTGAAGCAATCAATAGTCCAGGAGTAATTCCTAACATTCAGAATGCCTGGGAAACCTTTGTGGAGAGGAAGTGTTCCAAGGCTATAACAGAGGCCGTGAAAAAATACGAAGAGGTTATGGAGTCAAACCTGAAAGAAGAACGTCCTTGTAATAATGATGAATTGCGCACGTTTCATGGGATGGCGTTAAAGAAAGGTGAAGGCTACTTCATGACAAAATTGGTGGGAATTTCAACAAGAACCGCGGAGAAGCACCTAAACAAACTGAAGGTTGGTATAAAGTAAAGTAGTAGTATATAATAAGTAAATGGTTTAAAATTGGGTAGGGTAGAGGGGTATGAAGACACATAAAGATAAAGCTTGTTACACAAGAACCTACTGGACAATACTCAGCCTTTTCTAGTGGTTTCAATTTAAAACATAAGAACACACCAAATACAAATTAATGGAACAACAATAACTAAACACAAATTTTCAATTTGTAAATATTAAAAAGAGGAACACAAACTAATTAATAGCAACTATAGTACAAAGTGGTATTAGAATACGTGTTAAATGATAACCTACAATCTAATCAATGAAATATTTCCGAGCTGGAATCCCAATACTTTGATTTAATATTACCGATCAATTAATGCTTTTTAAATTCCCAGTCAAAGTTTTTCTTTCAGTTCTTTTATCTTAACTTAATGCGTGGTGTGAGCATAATTATGTAATTTATCATGACAATAACAATGAAATAATCAGCGTTATGCATCAGTCGATTCCACCTGCGCCCAGTTTATTTTTTAGTATTGATATAAAATTATTGACATTAAAATTAATAGAGCGCTGTAAAGTTATATGTTATGAATAGTTTTATAAATATGAAAGGATATTCTTCAATAAAAGAAATTTGATTCAATAACCAAAACACTTTGATTCACATCGATAGCTCCAATTTCGCTACGTAATTCTGGCTTGATAAGCAATGAAGAAATACATACATACATGTAAAATCGAGAACATGCCTTAACAACCCTCTACAATGTATTCCTGTCCTTGAAAGATGAGCCAATCTGCTTTTTTTTCCTGTAAAACCTTCTGTGTAGTTATATTCTGATAGGAAACCGCGTGCGTGTCAAAAGCTCGGGAATGGCCCGGGGGTTGGCAAATGCCCGGCCCCCGGGCAGTGCAAAATTTGCAAATGCCCCACCCCCGGGAATGACAAGGCGGGCAAATGCCCCGCAATAGCCGGGGGGCTGGGCGCAGGTGGAATTGACTGATGCATTACGTTCACCGACTTCCGGTAAGCCTTGCTACTCAAAAAGCTTCAGGAGCTAACTCAGAAGGGACCTCATCAGCTTAGTAGCTTTCTACTTGCTCTCTTAGAGCAAAGTTGTACGATACGCGAGTAATTTATCAGTAATTTGACAAAGAACGCTAGTTACCTTTTTCAGTTTTTATTCTGTTATTCTATTATTCCATTCTAGTGGTTATTCTGTTATTCTACTCTCTATAATAAATCTTTTCGTTTAGGCAACTCAGCTTTATTTTTATGTTTATTTTTTTTCGCATTTTTTTTCTTTTGCTTAGAGTCTGTTAAATGAGAAGCTGATATCATGGAAAACCAGAAATGAAAAGTTGACAAGAGAATTTTGTAACAGCTTACTACGTCAGCTGAAAGAGAAGCATCTTGATCCAGTCCGTCGACGAATGCAGGGGAAAAAAGCGGCCAAAATGTCTTTCGGTGGAATCAATGGTGCATGCGATCAGATAAAGGAAGATTACCACAATTCTGCTATAGGTGCCAAAGATGTTATTGACGCAGTTTTTGCGGAGTTTCAACCGGTAAGATTTAACGTTGAAGTTAGTCCATTTCTTTCGAATTGTGTAATGACCCCTCATCTGCTGAGCTAGATTGGTTTGTCGGAGTGAAGAATGAAACAGACATCCCCTCCTAGTCGCAAATGAAGACGTTCGATTAAACTGCTAGGCTGTTATTCCTTTCAATGAACTTGTGTTCTTTTTTGATTGCTTACAGGCTCTTTCCGAAGAACGGAAACTATCCTTGAATATTCTAGGAAAACTCAAAGACCTTGATGAGAAGCTAGCCAAGGCTCTTCAACAACAGGAGAAGCAAAGGCTTGAGGTTTAAATTTTTTTCTCACGCTGCTTTTTGGCTTTAGAAAACTTGAATAAGCAAGAGTAACCTTTAGGTAGCCTGTGTACAGACGTTCCCCCTCCCTCAGGAAAAATCGGGAGAGGAGACGTCTGTGAATCGCCGTCGTTAATCGTGTTCCGGTATACATTTGCATAAATTATTTTTTTTTTCTATCGTTGACAGTTGCCGGAAAAGGCTCATGTAGGTCGAAAATTAGCTCTGGCGTCTGTGCACAAGCTAGCCGAACATCTTCACGCAATGTCCACCCAAAAATCCAGATATAAGATCTCTGATTACAGTCAAGCCGGGTCAAGCGTACCTGCCAAGATGCCATTAATGTATTTATTATTCGAAAGCTGAACCGTTGGTAGTTGTAGATTTCAGATTCATCTCTGTGTGCATTCTTGCATGCCTAATGAGCCGTGAATTCACACGCGATTCAGTTACGAAATTTCTACTAGCTCAGTTTCCCTAAATTTGATGTAAATGTCTTCTAAGACATTTAATCCATTCAAAGATTTTGACCAAATGAAGGAGGTTTATTCACTGCTCCTTGCGCATACAGGAATGCCGATTTAAATTTTAGACCAGTTACGGGAACGACTAACGGATTGATTTTTTCAAATAATCAATTCATTAATAGAAATCTTTTTGGGGTAATTGACCTGCCTTGGCTGTTAACGTTGGATTTTGTATGCCTTCTCTTTTATTTACAATACCGGCCGGTACAGACAGATGCACCCGCAACCGGTGCAGCAAACATCGGTGGTCTTAACTTCTCATGCCTGTTCGAGAGAGCCGAATTACAAATACCGCTAAACAAATATGAATGTCTACAAAGGCTGAGCTTTTCCCCGGGGAATCTATTCAGAGGTTCATTCACCAATCACATCGCCAGAAATTATTTGCGTCAAGGAATTAACATTACAACCAATCAGAGGCTGTCCCCAACATTCCGGGGAAACGGGAACACGATTATCGGCGATTCACAGACGGCTCCTCTCCCAATTTTTCCTGATCTTTAGGCCTCGTCAAATATTTTTCCTTTTCACGGCGGATAAACGCATGCAAAAATGTCCCTTCTAAACTAATTTTGCTATTTTTATTTTTTGAGCTTAAACTTTACACAGGATGACAGAACCCGGTATTTCTAACAATCGTTTGTTTTTGGATTCTTATTTTATTTGTTTTTGACGGGCAAATGACGTTATAGGAATAACAGCAAAAATTGATTTTCGACTTCTGACGTAAAAAGTAAGCACTTTAAATCCTACGCCAGTCACCCAGCTGTCTCCTAATATATTTGAATAACGCTCACGGGTTATGATATATGGCTGACGACTTTAACAGTCGGTACACGGGGGAACTGAAATATGTACACCCAGGGGCATTTTTCTTTGATTTTTGGTAACATAGCTATTCTTACTAACCCGAGTTCGCTGATTTCGAAAATCATTGTTGCTAAGCTTAAATCATGTCTAAGATGGTATTTTGGGGCGTTTCATTATGACGTCATTGTCCAAAAAAGGATTTTTCTTTCCTTTAACAATTTTAAGTTTACTATAACCAGAGACGCTTTGAACTTGTGATAGGTGTACTGTAAAGATTATAACGAAAATTTCTGGCAGTTTTTACGCTGTGCCTACTAATATAAAACCGTCACTTATTAACAACTGATCACCCCCTTCATATAGTTACTTTTTGAAAACGGATGTATTCCTTGTATAAACAGGAAGCTGCAAGTAAAAACATGCAACCCTTTCAACATCGTCCATAACACGTGTTCTTAGCAATCGTAAAACCTCTCTGTTCCTGCACCAAGCACTTCGAGGCAAAAAGGGTTAACGGTTAATTCAAAGGTGAAAACTAATGCCGAAAAGACAAAGGGTGACTGGAAAAAGAGTTAAACGGCACTCCACGTGAGATCTTCCTCTCCCTGATACAACCGAGCCGAGCCAGCGGTGCGCGAATACTAACTTATATCACGAACACTTCCTGTGCGCTTAGCAGATGGGTTCTATCTTACAACCTGGGTTCTCATATTGGTGCGTAGGCATCAACAATGTCGTATAACATACACCACGATGACCTCTTTATCCACAGAGAGAGTGCCCGGGAGAGACAAAGGCGAGATAATGGAGCTGAAAATGCACTACACTACAAGAATTTGGGATGTTCTTCACTCAAATAAAAGATCCTACCTGCGACTTCGGAAATTGAGCTGTCTCTTGTCCTAGTTGTTACGAGGGATCACTCAGGTTGAAACGTTTGGGCAATGTAATGGAGGATATATTTCTTCAGACAGAGAAGAAAAACAAGATTACAAAGTTAAAATTGCTACAACTAGCTTGAAGATAAAGAATTCTGGATGCAGACAAGAGGGGTAGGACTAATCTGTGGAACTGCAGACCGTGGAACCGCGGAACTGGGGAACCGGCGGAACTTACGGAACCTAAAGAAATGACTGTTTTTATTACAACTGCCTTTGGCCAATGTGATAAAACAATTAGGTAAATCAATTATAACAGAAATGATAGAATGTTCACAGTCCCCTATTTCCCCGTAAGATCGTCGAAATCGAGCGCTCGCGTTCACACCGAGACGGCGGACCTTATGGTTCCCAAACCCTCCCCCGCCCCCTAAGCAGTTCGAGCTGGACCCGGTCAAGATAGCCTCCTGTAGCGCTCGCACTCGAGGATTTTGTGAATAATTGGGCATAACACATTGGCACTAATCGAGAGCTCTGGTTACGATCTGGAAGTCCACAAATCGAGGATTTCCGGCTTGTTAGTACGTAGGAAGGCAACGAGAGGTATATATTCAACACAGTACCACAAGACTGGGAGGATGACAGAATTTAATGTGAATGTGTTTGTGAAAAGCAGATGATATTGAGCGAATGCCTCAGTGGTATCTGAGAACTAGAGGAATACGTGTGGGTTTAGCCGGCTATGGTTCGCTGGGTCAGCACGTCAGTGTGTGTGATAGGTTGAACACATTGAATCCCCTGGTTAACGAGACTGAGATTGTATCCAGATGTAAGTTACGGTATTGTGTTAGCTCGTTAAAATATAATAATTGTGTTTGTTCGTTAGAACGCAGTTTGAACGTCTCGTTAGAGGAATATTACGTCGTATTCTCAGGGCAAGGCTGACTGGAAAAGCTCGTTTAGTGTGTAAGGGGTATAAACAGAAAGAAGTAGATGCATAAACAGAAAGTTACTAAGTTGGGATGGCGAAAATTACATTTTCCCAAAAGTGACTAACATGGGTGCTATGTTTGGCCACAGAATAGACTATCGGGTAGGGGTTCTGAGAGGCCAGCGGCACGTACCCTAGACTGTTCACAGTCCCCTATTTTTTCGTGAGATCGTTTAGGTATACCGCGTCTTACCGCCACGGCTATCTTGATTTTCAAATGTAGCGAGGGGGCGGGCGTCGGGGATTATAGCTCTAGGTGAAGGGGGGGAAGGTGGCGAGAAAAATAAGGGGACTGTAATAACATCACTGCAGCTTGCGTTCATGGAGCGCGTTGTACCAGCAACGCAGGCGTTTAATTGGTCATTAGACAATAGATGTTAATTTGCGTTGATATAAACAGCTTTAGTTTCAGTTGCCGACACTGACAAGTCGTTGACAAGTCAACGTTTCCATAAAACGTACGCTTTCATACCATAAGGCACATCTTGCGTAAACACACGGATGATTTTTGATATTTTGATTAGGAAAATGTTTCCTTGTGCATGTTTGCTGATTTCATTTCGAGGAATGACCCAGAAACATTATAAAATCACTGTTTCGAACGGAGATATTTGTAAACACGCGAAATAGATGCTAAATGTGTCTGGCATGTTTTTCATCACCAGCGGAGTTTCTTAATTAATGAATGGTAAAAGGCGTGAAATTCCTGTCATGCCTCCCGAACGCGAGCTGCAGTGATGTTATTACAGTCCCTCTATTTTTCTCGCTTCCTCCCAAACCACCCCCGCCCCCTAAGTAGTTTTAACACTCATGCGAGATGGCAACCCGTAACGCAGAGCGCTCGATCTCGACGATCTTACGGAAAAATAGAGGACTGTGAACAGTCTACACGTACCCAGCGAAAATTAACACAAGTAACCATCTCTACCCGAGCGTATCGCACAACCAGTCGTTGACACTGCCATTATCGCATCTTGTGGTTGTTCAAATTAAAAGCAATTTTCTTTTGAGATCCTATCCTTGACGTAGCTGTCGAAATTCAGCCCCGGGCATTGTTACCACTTAATGCCATCACAGGCTGTGACAGCACCTCGTTTATCTGTAAACATTCAAAGAAGACTGTGAGGCTGCACTTCGTCTTTCCTCTTCCGTGGACGAGTCTCAACGTCCTCCGTGCTGACACCATCGCACCTGCAGATAGGTTTGTTTGTCCGTTATGTATGACGGATTAAGAGACCAACTGAACTTTGCTCGCTCCTTGCTATTTGTCAAATTCAATAACCCAGAGAAGCTACGCGCTATTTACTAACAAACCACGGTTTGGCGCCAAGCACAGATTCCAAAAGCGGAACTTCCGAACCTTGAGGAGACAGGATGAAAGCTGAACATGAGGATCTACTGGTCTCTATCTTTATGACGCTCGATTCAATCTTAGAGGCTTGTCTGGAGTGAGTTTTAACCTGGTTCGCCACTGGCTGCGCTGTAATTACAGTAAGTTGCATGTCATGTGCTCTCGGCTGTGTGGATGTACTTGGGCCGACGCTAACTGCTGCATCAGCAGGCACTCGCTTATGTGAAAAGCTTAAACGATGTTAACTCTTTAAGAGGGTTAAGGAAATTCATTTACCATTCTTACAATATGGCAAACTGAAACCTTAGAGTAAGGAGCGACGTCCTGACATGTTCTATTCGTAAATTTTACATGAATTCGACCAGTTACTATCATGAACCCGACCAAGTAAATTGTGAAATGACTTAGATTCAACAATATACAAAAAAATACTAAAATTAATC